GATGCTAATAAACACAGTCTTCACACACGAGCAGCTCAGAGAAATGACTGTCATCTGATCAGGACAGGGTTAATAACACACATTATTTTAGTTTGAATTAGCTGTCATTAAAAGCCCAAACTTTCATTTTATTTTTTTTTATTTGATTTTCAAAGAAACACTTCCTGTCTGGACCGTAATCTGCTGCTCATTAATTAAACGCCTTTGGTCTTTAAATAAATCTGAGGTTTAAGAGAAGAGAAAAAAAAACAACCACACGATCAACTTTGATGTGGTTTAATGACATTTAACGAACTGAAGAACTGACGATGTAATTAGTCCAAACAACAGTGGACAATCCTTCAGTGGTAGCTGTGATGGAGCGGTCGTGGTCGGGTTTTTATGGTCTATCTCTCTGAGTCTGCGTCCGCTGGAGGCCACTTCCTGTTGAACCAAAGTGCTGCTCCACCAGGAGACTGTATTTTTAACACTTTAACAGGGCGTTTGGGAATTCTTTTTTTATATATATATATTTTTTATTTCCATTTCAGTTTGATTCCCAGAGGAATCACATGCTTGGCGCCTCTAGGGGGCAGTCTGCTGCAGCACATCTGTTTTTTTAAAGACAAGAATTTCCCAAATATGGGATCAATAAAGTTCATATTATTATTATAAGGAACTGTGATTCCATACTGTATCAGTTAGCAGCCCTGCCTTGCAAGTAAAGAGCAGAGAGTCCTGGGTTCGATTCCCAGAGAAACCACTTATCCCTAATGACTTGTATAAGTTGCTTTGGATCATTTGTGTCTTTGGATAAAGACACAAATGTGACCAGCTTGACTGTGAGAAGAGTTTTTAAAACGTGCACTGTCCCTTTAATCTGCCACCGAGCGTTTGACCCACAGTTCCACAGCATCAAACAAATCTGAAAAAAAACCAAAACCTCGTCAGGAGATTTGACTCATTAAATTATGACGTAAGTCAAACCACCAGGAGACGTTAGCGTCACTTCAACGTGTGTCAGCAGCAAACGTCTCCCCGCCGTGATGTCACCGCCGGCCGCCGTGATGTCACAGTGGCCGGCGGTGCCTGCTGCGAGGAGGAGGCAAGTTCTCCTCCTGAAGCCCAGGATGATAAAAATCTACCACTCAGATATTTCAGCCGTGCTGCCGAGTGGGTGATCTATCACTCCTGAGTTACGCAATATTTCACACACACACACGTACGTACACGTAGACACACACACACACACACACACAGACGCGGGCAGAAATCATAACTGTGCTGCTGATGGTGATGCAGGAGATAAAGGTACAGTTGGTGGATCACGGGCTGACAGGAGAGAGAGAGAGAGAGAGAGAGATTATTGGAATGTTAACACACACACACTCACACACACTCACACACACACTCAGAGATGTTCTGTGCTGTAATCTCTACATATACAAGACACTCACAAATGGATGGTTACAGAGAAGAGTGTGTGTCAGTGGGTGTGTGTGGGTGTGAATGTTCAGCTCTCATAATGTGTGTGTGTGTGATTCCACTTGTTCCAGTCAATGACTGTGTGTTTATATATATATATATACATATATAAACATATATATACACACATATACATATATACATATATAGGTATGTATATCTATACAGTATATATAAATATATATAAACATATATACACACATATACATACATATATACATACATATATACATACATATATACATATATATACATATATAAACATATATACACACATATACATATATACATATATATACATATATAGGTATGTATATCTATACAGTATATATATATATATACTGTATAGATATACATACCTATATATGTATATATGGCTGTATATGTATATAGAAACACAACTTGTGTTTCTCATGTATATATGTTTATATGTATATGTGCAAATATATGTGTAATATTGTCTTTTTAAAAATACAAAATTAAAACAGATTTAATCTGGAAACTCAGAAATAGGATGAAGATTTAATTCATAACAGGACAATTAATGCAAAGACTGTCCTGTTTCCTCATTTACTGCCCCCTACTGGAATGGAATGGAGCAAAGATTGTCCTGTTTCCTCACTTACTGCCCCCTACTGGAATGGAATGGAACAGCTTAAGGCATAGTGTAGTTTGAATGCAGTGTATCAGTGTATGAGCAGAAGGTTGTGTGTTCATATCCTTTGATAACCTCACTATAGATGGAACAAAATCAATCAATCAATCAATCAATCAATCAATAGATCCAGTTCGCCCCCTACTGATGACTTAATATTATAGCTCGTCATAAATGTATAATTTTAATCTGTTATGGATTATAAAACGGTCCGTGTTTAGCCTAGAACGTGTTGTTTTTAGTGCCGCTAACCACTGTTTTATTATCTGCAGTGACATCACACTGTCCAGGACGACGGTTCTCAACCAATGGCATGAAGACAAGCAGCGGCCACCAGACGCCAACATGTGGTCCCGGTGATCATGTGAGTGCAGATTTTTTTTATTTAGAGCGCACAGTCAAAGTCGGCCTATCCAAATGGAGGCCTGGGGGCCACGTGTGGCCCAGATGCTGCCTCACAGTGGCCCAGTTTGTGGTCAGGTGAGAAATGTGGAGAGGAACTGAGAGAATTTAAGGAATTTTTTTTTTTTTTTTGGAGGAAAAACAAACCATGAATGCAACATTTTTGGCTGCCTAGCAACATGTGACCCACAATGCACTAGTTGTTGTGTTGAGGAACTGGAACTCCTGGTCCAAATCTTGTAGATTTCTGTGGTTTTCTTAAGGAATTAAGGAATTTATTTTTGAGAAAATAAATTAAAAAATAATCCCTTTGAGAAAATAAATTAAAAATAATAACCCTATATTCTCTCTTTACTTCAAGTTCCATTTGAAGTTTCATCCTTTTAATCCAGTTCTTAAGAAGCCTGAATGTTTGAACATTTAATGTCTAACAAATCCAGACTCACTTGTGCCCAGTGGTGACTGTTGGAACTGCAGCAGCAGCAGAACTCCCATTCCACATTCATGGACTAAAACTATGAATCAGGAGCAAAAAAAACCTCTTAATAGTTTTGAACCACACCATCCATCAGTGTGGATTGTTTTCTTTTTTCTTTTTTTTTCAGTGTGACTTTACTCACTTCAGTAATACTCAGTAGTTATGGTAAGACAGAATTGCAGTGTTCTGTGTTGTATGTAGTAGCTGTACTTTAGGTAAGACAGAATCTACAAATGTTGTTAACTTCATTCTGTGGCCTGTTGAACAAGCTTTCCCCTTGTAGCCTTTTCTCTGCATCACCCAGACAGGAAGCACACACACACACACACACACACACACACACACACACACAGGCCTGTCACACCGAGCCAGTCATCCTGTAATGGCTGCCACTGCTCATTGTTCACATCCTGCTTTGTCTTCAGCGCCATTTTGACTCGGTGGGAGGAGGTGCAGCTAGTTAGCTTCACGGAGGGCAGCGGCTGAGCGCTACCACATGGTTGGAGCACAAACACAGAAATAATAAAGGGCACAAGCAGCGATGCTAACCTGACTGAGCTGTGCAGCTAACACGTGAATGATGTCACACGGTCGGAGGCTAAACCTTCTTGTTGTTGTTGTTGTTGTTGTAGTTACCATAACCATTGCATTAGCATCCGAGGCTGAGGGTTAAACTCCAGTCCACATGAAGCCAGTGTGTGGGTGAATAAACACACGTCACAGTCTGGGGACATTTGATCTACTTTTAGCTGCTCCGTCTCTCACAAAGTCACAGTTATCTCTGAGTAAACACACACAATCAGAGCTAAAGTTCTCTCTGGCTAAATGCTAACAGTGTGTGTGTGTGGCCGAATACCAAAAGAAACACACACAAACACACACATACACACACACTGATATCTGCAGGTCCATATGATGGGACTAGAAATAATTCATATTAATTTAAAAGCAAAATATACTGTTAATATATATATAAATATATATATAAATATATACTAAATATATATTCAATAATATATGTACATATTTTAGTCTAGTAAAATGTTTATGCTATTATTTCTTATTTCTAAAACGTCATAAATATATATTTAAAGTTGGTAGAATGTATTGTAAATAAAGGAAATACATTTTAAAGAAAAATAGAAAAATATCGTCTACATATAGAATCATTTGACTCTTTGACAGAACGGCTCAACAGACAAAACAACACTGCGTAAATGTTTATATTTTTTTATTATTATCCACTATGAAAATATATATACAATAAATAATTTGGATTTTCACTATTAAAGAATCTCAATAAATAAACTAGGGTCTAAAAGTCGGGTCATCAGCAGGGCGCCCCTCGCGTCGCGTCGCGTCGCGTCGCGTCTCCGTCTCAGAATAAAAATCTGAGACAAAGAGAATAAATTCATTCTTCAGTTCAGAGTCCAGTTTTGAATCTCCGTGAACAGTTCCTGAGAAGTTTTTAAGGATCCACGAAGCTGCACCAGAATAGGCTACACACGAAATAAATCCACACACACACACACACACACACACTTTCTCTCACACACACACACACGCTCCACTTTTAACCCAAACAACAAAGGTAATAAATACCTGAAATTTTGACAACATGATGGAGGGAGAAAAAAAAATCCACTGCGTCTTAATTTGAAAAAAAAAAAAAATCCAGACGATGTTTCAATTTTATAGAAGAGAAAAAAAAATCGTTTTTATCTACGTAATATCCGCGAAATTAAAACTCACCTACAAGATTAAAAAAAATAAAATAAAATTCAAAACGAAATTCAACCCTAAGCAGAAATTGATCAGGAATGTTGCCGAGTATTGTTGGTTTTTATTTTTTTTTTCCTAAAATAAAGAATCCTCGCCGCAGCCTCCTCCGCTCGATTGTTCTCCCACTGCGGCCTGGTCGCGTCCACTCGCCGCTTGTGTGTGTGTGTTTTTTTTCTTCCTTTTTTTAATTTTTGAAAACGTCTGATTTTTTTTTTTTTTTAAATTGTACTTCTTATGACCGAGAACTACCGTGGTCTCCTCAGAAGTTGAGGTGCTGCAGGTCTATGGTGCACAGTGTGCTCGTGAACAGGTCGAAGTCCTCCTCAGAGAAGTCCACCGGGCTGTCCAGAGAGCTCTGCAGGCTGGGGGACAGGCACGCGTCCCCGCCGAAGAAGGTGAGGTCCGGGAGCGCGGAGGAGCTGGATAAGGAGGCGGCAGGAGCGGCGGAGGTGATGGAGATGTCCCTCTGCTCCGGGAACGGAGGCTCGGGAGCTGACGCCACCGCGGCGGCGGCCGGGGCCTCCACCAGGCCCGGGTTGTCGGTGGAGTTCGTGGCGGAGTGACCCGCCGCGGCGACGTCAGATGAGCCAGATTCTGCAGGCAGCGGTGGGCGTTCGAGGCGGCTCAACCCGCCTCCCTCCTCCGGCGTGGGCTGTGCATTGTCCCCGCTGTCAGCGGCGTAGGCGGCGGCCGAAGATGGATCACCGCTGACCCCCTCGCCCTCCAGCGTGTCCTCCCCTGTTCCAGATGCTTCCAGTGGCTGACTCGAATATGGAGACGAGGCATCTGCGCCTTCGAGCGGCTCGAACCCGCCCGGATCGCTGGCTTCTGGGCCTCCGCCGCCACCGCCCGCGCCCCCCACGCGCCCGTGGGTCGGGGCTCACGGCTCTGGCGTGCTGCATGCGCCGGTTCTGGAACCAAACCTTGACCTGTCTCTCCGTCAGGTCCAGCAGCGCGGCGATCTCCACCCTCCTGGGTCGGCACAGATACTTGTTGAAGTGGAACTCCTTCTCCAGCTCCAGCAGCTGTGTGTTCGTGTACGCCGTTCTCAGGCGCCGAGAGCCGGCACCACCGCCGTCCAGGGCCGCCTGGCTTGGGTCTGCGTAAAGAACAAACAGTGGTTTAAAAAAAATAAATATAAATATCATTAATAATTAAACATGTAGTCGTTTTAAAATAATTTTAAAAACATAATTCATAATTTAAATCACTAAAAAAAATCAATAACCTCTGGGTATATTTTTTATTTTATTTTTTATTTTAAGACCTGGAGGCATTAAATTACCT